ATATCAACCTTTTACTTCTATGATTTTTTTCATCTTATCTCTTCTCAATTCCCTACATGTATAGTTCAATTACTACTTTAGCGAAGGTACCAGGTGTTGAGAAACCGTTAATATATTATACCTATTATAAAAAGCTGTATTTGAAAACTATAAATCGTGATTTCGAAAGTAAATTATATATATAAAGATAAATAATTTATAAATATAAATTGTATATAAATATAAATAGTATTTTATTATAAATCGTATTTATATAATAAAAATGATATATATACAAATAAATCGTAAATAAATAAAAACTATATATAAACGAAAATTGTATATGTTAATAAACAATATATAAAATATAAATTATGTTTATAAAGATATAATGTTTATTTAAATATTATATTCGATAAAAAATAATATTTCAATCGAAAAACCGTATTTTAGCCGAAACATCGTTTTTGAATCAAAATACCGTTTTTGAAAATAAATCGTTTTTGAAAATATTTTAATTATATAATTTTATTTATTTTCAATTTAATCAAAACAAAATATAATATTCTTTATAGTGTAATGGTTAATATATTTGATTTAAATTTTAAAGTTGAAAAAAAAAAATTAATTAAAATTTCAAATTTTGAAATTTGAAATGATGAAATATGAAATATCTTGATTGATATTTCTTTTTATTTTTTTTAAATTCAAAATATTTAATAAAAACAATTTATATTTTCAAAAACGTTTTTCTTTTTCAAAAACGTTTTTCTTTTTCAAAAATGCTTTTTTTTTTAAAAACGTTTTATTTTCAAAAACGCTTTATTTTCAAAAACGTTTTATTTTTAAATATAATACGAATATTCTATCAATTGAAATATAGTTTTTGAACCTAATCACAATAAAATCATTGTTTCTAAACCCCTAGTACCTCCGTTAAGGTACCTACCGTACCGTACGTACTGTTACTAAACAAACGTACTGGAGTCTGGAGGTAGGTAGATAGGTAATTATATTACTAGATAGGTACTCGAGGTCTGTCGGCTCAGCCCTGTATATAGATAGTAATAATAGTAATACTAATACCGGTAATATATAATACATATAAATTTCCCAATCTAATTCCCACCCGCTCGCCTTCCCGTCCTTCCTTCCTACCCGCGGCTCGGACGCCGGACGATGGATGCCGGACGACGGATCTACCTTTGATCCATCCTTGTAAGATTTTTTTTTCTTTTCTTTTTTTTTTCTCTTTTACGAAAATTTAAATTTAAATTGATATGCTTATAATATGCTTATAATATTATTTTGTAAGGGAGAAAGAGAGGAAGAGAGAGAGCCTCGAAGAGAGATATTTACTTACTACGGATATTGGTATTCTAAAAGAATTTATACCAATATTCATTACCTACCTATACACCATTGCTTAGAAAAAGTTCTTGTACCATCATGGCCCATGTACAATGGATGTACTGTGGCCCCCCCTTAAACTTCTCTCTATACGCGGAATCTCAAATGCAAATGTATTTAAATCCCGGTACCCCTTTTTCTTTTTCTCTTCGAACTCCGAAGCAAAGTTAGAACTCCGTTTCCCCTCCTTTTTTGTTTATATATATATATACATACAAACATACAAACAGTATTAATTCTTTTCTATAAATTGTAATATCAATGTAAATATAATATCGACATCGAAATCGAAATCTTAATGAAATATATATATATATATATATGTATGGCGCAGATACTATAATCAAAACTGTAAGCATTGGCACCGCACCTCTGTTTTGCCTTTATCTTGCTGATATGATTGTACAACAACGTCGGACGTTCTTAAATCCGTACTGGATATTCTAATATTATACATATTAAATTTCCTAAGTTGGTCGAGGTAACGGATGTAGTTGTGTTGAAACGCATGATATGACTGTAGTATGCATCTATTGCGTAATTAACAATACACCTCGTCCTCAGATAAAGAGGCAGACAGTATGGAAACGCTGTTCCGAATGAATGCGTATGCATATGTCAGTAAGACTTGAGAAAATGCAGTCATATTCAAACAAAACATCAACTACATACCTAGCAGTTGGCCCAAAAATGTAAGCTTATTATTGCTTATTATTGTGAATGTGAGTATGGTCCCCGTTCTCTAAAGGTTCTCTTCTCTTCATTATTCCCACAACCCTATTCAAATTCAAAAACGTGATCATCATCATCAAAATGAGTCCTCTCACACAAATCCCCGAACTAAAAGCAAGCTTAGCTTCGACCTGCGAGATCCTAACGGATCCTCAGGATTCCAAGTTTGTGGAGCACCTGAAGCGATGGACGGATATTGATCTGAAAATTCCCGGTGCTATCGTGCTCCCAAGTTCGGAAAGTGACTGTCAAAAGATTGTAAGAAGCTATAGCACTGAGACCTCTCCTCTACCTTGGGTCCTTGCTAACAGACAATCTAGGTGCAATGGGCTTCCAAGTACTCTGTTCCTTTCGTAACTAAAAGCGGGGGTCATAGTGAATGGTCTACCATTGACGACAATGGCATCATTATTGATCTTAGCCTATACAAAGGAGTAGAGGTAGATACAAATTCTCAAACGGCGACTCTCAAAGGAAGCATCCTCTCTAAAGATGCAGCGGTAGCTCTTGCCGATGCGGGATTTTTCACTGGTATATATCATATTATCGATGATTCTACGGAGCGAGGCTAATTCGTTGCATCTAGCTTTGGGAAATGGCAATACAGTAGGCGCCATCCCCTACTTTCTCGGCGGAGGTGCCTCGGTCACTTCTTCTGTCACAGGTTTCGGATCCGACCAAATCCTCTCGGCGCATATGATAACCGCAAAGGGAGAACTTCTTGACGTAAATGACAAAACACATCCGGGTCTTCTCTACGCTATACGTGGCGCCGGCCAGTTTTTTGGTCTCATCACGCAGCTTACCGTCAAGCTTCATCCCCTACAAGCCCTCGGAAACGATCAAGGTGTTATATGGGTTGGTAGCTTCGTCTTTCCGCTGGCTCGTGCCCGGGAAGTGGCTTCTGTGATGAAAGATTTAATGGATGATGACCGCTATGCAACGGCTGGTCTTATGATGATCATGGCACCACCGCCAGCACGAAACCCATGTCTAGTCATTTCGACTCGCTACACCGGTAATCCCGACGATGCGACCGAAGCGTATAAAGTTCTCTATGACCTTAAACCCATCGTTGCCAATGGTGCTGCAGTACCCATTCAGAACGCAAGCGATGGACGCGAGGCACTTGCTGCCAAGGGAGGCTTCAAACGCTTTGATATTGTCGGTCTCCAGCGATTTGATCAAGAGGCTTTTCTTCAATCCATTGATGTATGGACCGAGATGGTTACCGAGTGTCCAGATGCAATTAATACCGCATTCAACTTTCAATGGGACTCGAGGCCCGTCAAGACGCCTGATTTCGAATCGGCCATGTGTCTTCATGACATCCGCTATTATCAGTAAGCTAAGAAAAAATAAACATTTTGGAATTACTTTTTGATGATATCCCACAAGCTAATTAATTGATCTAGGAACAATTTGATCTGGCACACGGATGTAAAGAATCGTGCCAAGGTCGACGAATACAATGCTAAATGTATCACCATTATGCGCGGCGACGACGTGGCAACTTTTGTGGACTTTCAGAATGGTACGAGGGATGGTCCTATCGAGCGGAGGTATAGAGGGGAGGAGAGACTTGCGCGCCTGAAAGCTTTGAAGCAGGAATGGGATCCAACGGGTGTATTTACCTCTCAATTACTTTAATCGCCTGTCTATTGGTAATCGTACCCAGGAATTTGAAAACGGATACAATCATTCTTATGAATTTCTACATCTATTCCCATCAATACAAAATATCGAAGGACTTGCAAAATCAACCAAAACTTTCTAGATCCTGGGTTGATGAGATTTACCTCATGGGCTTTCTTTCATCTATGTCGAAAACATGAAAGTTCATGTTGGAAAAGGTAGATTAAGTCGGTTTCTCACCGACCAATTTAGTATAATATCGATCGAAATAGGACGGAATTGGTGCATCATACACATGCGTATCATCAAGAAAACATACAGGTGTAGGACCTGGTGTTGAAATCCAATCAAATATAACGGAACCAAACCAAGAGCTTTCCATTCTTTCCAAATTGGATTTCTCTTATACCGTATGTATTTCTATTTCCATTTTATTTTATTATGGATTATTTAAGAAAATTTCCCAATTAATATATCCATACCTAAGATAAGAAAGATCCCCATTAATATCTTATAAGTTCAACACTCAAGTCCTTTTTGACCTTGTGATTTTATTGACCTTCAAAAATCGAACTTAAGAATCCCTATCCATCCCATCCCTATCCAATCCCATCCCATCCCATCCCATCCCATCCCATCCCATCCCATCCCATCCCAAACCACTTACCTGCCCTTCCCATTCCTTCCTCCCTTCTCATCTCTTCATAAACAAAACTATCGATACCTACAATCATATGATCATACATAAGAAAGCCATACAGAGCCTTTAGCATACGCACGAATGCCCCGGCGCTCTCAGATTATATAAGATATCAACCTTATAGTAGTACAGTAATAAAGGAATCAAGTATTGCCTAGGTATCATACATACAGGACCAAGTACAGTACATACAGTACTTAGAATTTCAACATCAACTTGAAACTGTTGCGATACCAGTGAATTTGACATGTGACTAGGGTACATGTCGAGACACGTGATTGAAGTAGGCAATCCACGGGCACATAAGCCCCTCGTAGCACTCAGCTCTAGATCAATCAATAATCATATGAAGCATACAAGACATCTATAACACCACCTCAGTGATACCAACAAAAATAAACCAAAAACAACCCTCCCTCTCCCCCACCAAAAAAACAAAAACCAATCACCACCAAAAACCTCCCTTCACCTTTCCACACATAACTCAACCATCTCTTAACTATTTCGAACTATTTTGGATGCAAAAGAAAAGGCAAAAAGAAACTGATCACTGGCGGGGTCGAACCGCCGACCTTGGCGTCACATATGTCTCTGAATGAACAGAGAAGATATTAGCACCACGCTCTAACCAACTGAGCTAAGCGACCTAGTTGATCATGTTATTTGATGGAAGAAGGGTCTTTAGCATGGGATATGAAGCTAGAATGAAGAAGAAGAGTGCAGATGGAGATAGATGGTGGAAAAATGGAGTTGAAGAAATTGATGGGTGGAGTGGGGCTTAGTGGGTGGGTGGTGGGATGGGATGGGTAAAACTTAAAATTTAAGGTTTAAACGAGGGCTGGGAGTGGGGGAGAGGGGGGATGGTTTGGTTTTCTCGGGAGATGAGATGAGGATCATGAGATGAGGTTATTTTATTAGGTAATGGGATGAGATGGGATGGGGGAATATTTTTCTTTACTTTTTTTTTCGGGTTCCCAGGAGTTATGGGACTCGAAAGGAAGAGATGTGTTGAATAATTATAGTATAGTATTTATTCAGAATACAACCACCATAGTACATATTACCAAGGTGTATTCTGTTACCAAGGAAGCTTGGGATAGGAATTATTATATTGTCTAGAGAGTAGAATACATGACTGTTGAACCACTGCCCTTATATGCCACTCCCCCATTCCCAATGTGGCCTAGTGCCAAACCATGTGTCCTGACTTCCTCAATATAGCTTATAATAATAGGTATATATAAAGGTGTATATACCTAGGTGGTATGTGTTGGGATAATCATGTGATATGCTATGGCGAGCGCATATGGCTGCTGGATAGCTAGCGTATGCGCTAGCGGGCATATATACGTACAATCTGTAGCGTAGCATAGGTAGTTTAGAAAAGAAGCCGGATAACATATACGATATATAGTATAATCCGTCTTCACCACCCATGGTGATACCAACAGTATGGTAGGTATGGTATATTAATCAAGTGGCGTGCGTAGTTCAAGCCAAAGAAAAGAAAAGAACGTCTGTGTTTTGCTTTGCTTTGCTTAATGGGAGTCGGGTCGGGTATAAATGAGGAGGAAGATTACTAGGAGGATCTTAACAGGCTATGAGGATTCAAGTTCAGGAAGTTAGGTAGGACATCGGGAATGGAGAGAGGGGTCATCAAGTCATCAATCAAGTTGTGAAGAAAACGAAAAGCTTGGTGGTTTGCTTGCTGGCTTTCTTGTGTGGAGCAAGCAAGCAAAATGTATTAGATTATCGAAAAGATTAATCGGGTATTAAAAATGATTTTTTATTTAAAAATCAAAAGGAAAGAATTTGTAATTTGCGTCAAGGAAAATGATTGTTGGGAGTTGAAAAGAAGAAGAAAAAGATTGGGAGAAGGAAATATGGTAGGGTAGCTAGGTTGGAGAAAGTTAGTGGAAAGGAAAAGGGTTGGCGAAATTGGGAGTAGACTCTGGAGAGGTTATTGGAAGGTTTCTTTTCCTCTATTGGGGTTTCAAATAGGGAGGGTGTTCACTTGGAGATGATCACCGGGAGGTAGGTATATATATTCAAATTTTCAAATTTTCAAATTGGAAAGAAAGGGGCCACCGGGAGGAAGGGGGTTACTGGCTGGGAGGAAGGAGGTAGGTAGGTAGGTAGGTAGGTAGGTAGGTAGGTAGGTAGGTAGGTAGGTAGGTAGGTAGGTAGGTAGGTACGTCACTGGGAGGAAGATAGTCACTGGGAGGAAGATAGTTACTGGGAGGAAGATAGTCACTGGGAGGAATATAGTAACTGGGAGATTTTCTATAGAATTAGATTTTCAAAACGGGAAGAATAGGAGAGTGATCACCGGGAGGGAAGGTAGGAGGAAGACCAAAATGGGAGGGGGGGAGTGAGGAGCCAGAAAGAAGATCATCGGGACGGGACGGGAGGAAGAGGGAGTAAGAGGGGAGCCAAGAGAAGCTAATATATACATATAAATTTCAAATTCATCAAATCCGTGAACGAACCTAACAAAGAAGAGAGGCTATGTTCATCGGGAATATGTTTTCCAGAAATTTTACATCCATATACCTCTCCATCTCTATCTGTACCTCTCTGTATCGAAAAACCCAGCCAAACCCAAACCCAAACTCAAACTCAAACTCAAAGAATAAATAAATGAACAAGCAACATCCCATATATCCCATATATTCCCCAAACCAGATTAAGGAATTAGAGTGAATACTGACTGTAATATAAACTCTCCAAGTTGAAAATTTCGAAATTTCGAGGTTTCGAAGTTTGTGAATGCCAATGGAATTATAGATCCATTGATCATAGACGTATGATATGGATGATAGATAAAAGAAATGTTCGAGGAAAGAGGTACGGAGAGATTTGAGGCAAAATAGAAAAGTTAGGAAAAATAGAAGGATGAAAGGAAGTATGGATTCATATATTATCATAGCATTGCGGCCGATGGATGAATTTTGGATTTTGAATTTTGAATTTTGAATTTATTTAAGTCTTAAGTCTTAAATCTTAAGTAGATAGGTTTGAATAGATAGTTTAGATACTTGATGATAATATATATAAAAGAGTAAGAGAATATGAGAGAGAGAGAGGGTATACATACATCAACGAGTAGGATATAGTACAGTACAGTACATACAGTACAGTATAGTATATCCTAAGAATTATCATCAAATCCAATATCAAAATTACATTGCAATACATCACCACAGTACAGCAACAACAACAGCAACAACACACACACACATTTTAAGAAGAGAAATTCATTCAGAAGGGTCTCATATCTACTACCTTCATTATGCACCATCCACCACACCTCATCCCCATCCTCAGCCCAGCCCATACCATTATCTCCATCTCCATCTCCAACCATTACCCACATATATCCCTTATTCCGTACCCCCCATGTCACAATTCGTTAAGCCATATCATAACGCATTGGTAGGAAGGTATATTCCATTTTCCCATCCGTGATCCCCGGTTCAGTTGAAGTTGAGGAAAAGGGAGATAGACCAAAAGAAAAAAAAACCCCAAAGTGAAAAGAAAAGAATAGAAAAGAAAACAAAAGGATAATAAATATATCCGAAAGGGTATTCACACTTCCACCCATCTCATTTCCTCAATATTATCCCATTAACCTAGGCGTGATACCTAACCATAATACCTAGGCTCATCAAAAACATGATACCTATGTCCCCTCACTCCCTCCCCCCTAAACATCTCAGGAAACCTCTTCCCGACCTCTACATTGACCTCATCAATCCTTCTATTCCTCACTTTCTCATTCTCTCCCTCGGGTTCTTCTACAAGAAATTTTCCAACTTGAATTTCCGTATCTGTAATGGTACTTCTGGAAACCCTAGCATATGCTGATCGTCTAAGTCCTTTATAGAGAATATATTCACACCATCTATCCCAATCAGTGGGGTCAATATCATGCATACCAGATCTTTCTGATACATAGGTGTTGTAATTGCCTTCAAGGGGTTTAGTGACGAGGTAAGAGAGGAGGATGGAAGGGTTGGTCGAAGCGCCCATTAAATCGGCTAGGTATTCTGATTGAAGTCTTCGATCTTCCGGATCTTCTTCTTGACCTGAATGGAAGACAAATACGTCTACTGGACTTCCATATACGTCAAGTGTAGCGGCGATTGCGGGAGCCAATTCTCCCACAGGCGATGGAAGTAAATGATGAGTGGAATTGAGAATTGGGAATTTTGAGAGGAGAGCACAACCCCAAGTGTGTTTATTAGGACCTGGTCCATAATCAACGTACATGCCGAGGTCTTCTGCGAGGAATTGTGTCGTATCACGGTTGCCCATAATGATACGTTGGAGATCCGATTCAAGAAGTCCAATGACGTCAATTTCCAACTCTTTGATTACATCTCGCATACGGTATTCGGATGACCACATGTCGTTGTCTAGACTAAAGTGAATGGTCCAGATACCTGCGGTGAAGATCTTATCTTCCTTGTGGTAAGGGACATAATCATAAGTGGGGAATCGCATATATGCTGTCGAGATAGAGGTGAGTTGAAGGGCTCCAATAATGTAGAGGTAGTACATGCGCTGCTTTCGTTGGTTCAACAAGGCGTTAAATCGTTTTCTCTGTGCTGGAGGTGTAGATGAGAAGGTAGCGAAAACACCACAACCAATGAGTAACATTGTGACAGTCATCACCCAGTCTGTATGTTCTCTAACAAGAGGACCACCTGGAACGAAGGCATAAGCCACAACCCAGACATGGAATAATACCATGAAGTTGTATACGAAGAAACCGACCCCAAACGTTTTAGCTGGACTCTTTCGTGCAGCTGATCCCAACAATGGAACAGATACGGCCACGAGGTAAACAGTTAAAACCAAGGCACCATAATAACCTTTCCAATGACTATATATCGTGAGGGTGGCAGCACCTATACAACCAATGCCGTATAGTGTCCAGCTACGAGCCAAAGATTCATCGAATAATCCGAGAATGAGACCAGCTCCCATTGCGGCGATTGTCCAGGAACCATGAGGTGCTGAAATTGGACCACGAACAGGATACCCTTCCCAAACCCAAAGAATCATTGTGCTAGAATCGGATAGCAGAGAATGCAAACCAAAGAAAAGACCTCCAATACCAAGACCAGCAAGGAGTGATGGACCTTCCTTACGACCTTGAACTGAAAGTTGATCTCCAGTAGCCGGACTTTGTCGTGTCGATCGCAAAACTGCTAGAATGGCAATTATGAGACCATACCCATTCAAACCGCCATTTTCAGCATGAGAAGTGGGCCATATAGGGTTATTGGTGTGGAAGGCAAATTTAATAACACTTGATGCTATGAGACCAATAGTCCAGGCCGAGATTTTTGATTCGAGGCGACCTGGTTGTCCTGCTGATGCGTACAAAGTGGCTGCCCAAGATAGACATGACATCCAAATACCAAAACCAACGGTGAAAAGTCTAGGCGCTGGGCTCGTGATCTGATACGCAAATAATCCACTTAAGGACATGAGATGACATATCCGAAGATTCTTTACGACCAACGTTCGGACGGACCTAATCCCTAAGAATAATGGAGAAACAGTGCACATAACCATAACTTCATAACCTGAAATACCCATGTGCCATAGAGGAAAGTCTATTGTAATTAGCGATTTG